GTGTCCATCCCTCCATGCACTCCTGCCCCCTGAGCTGTCTCCCTGTGCATAAGCAGCCCTTCTCTCTCCCATGCTTGTTCTCTCCAAGGAGTGTATCTACCTGAGGTAAATATTCAACTCATATGGCTCTTTTGTTTGGCTGGAAACCACAGGTGTGAGTTCAATTCCAGATCTGAAGGGCAGCTAGAGGCCATAGTCTCAGCAGTTATACCAGGCTCTATTGGACCAACAAACCTGGTCCCCCCCCCACCCCAAAGTCTGTATTTTAAACAAACATGCAGCTCACTTTGAGAAATAATGATTGTATGTAAGAGTTTGGGCTGTAGAGTCCAGTCGTTGTGAGTTGAATCCTGGCTCTAAGTAGCCTGTCAATTGCTCTGGGCCTCAATTATAAAAGGAGGGTGACAGTCACCTCACAGGGCTGTTTTGAGGACTAAATGGGGAATAAGTGTATGCAAAGTGCTTAGCCTAGTGCCAGGTGTGTTAAAAAAGGTCATTAAATTATAATTTATTAGGCCATTTAGACGAGAAGCATATATAGATGCTAACACAAAAGACTGAAATATGATTTGCTTTAGCAGAGAACTGAAATTTCCCTGATTTTGAATGTTGAATGTGGAATAGTGGCATTTTGGTAGAAAGTGTAATGGAAGTGGAGGAGAGTAGAGGGGTTTGAAGACAATCCTAGGACACCAATGATAAGTGTGGGTAGGAGTGGGGTGAATATTATAACTTGAACTCTTTTTCCTTCACTCTCACAAACTGACCTTTCTCGTCTGTACCACATTTGGAGCAGGTAAGAGACAGGGATTTAGGGGTTGAAGGCAGGTGTCAGTTTAGGGAGAAGAGAAGGGAGTTAACTAAGCAAACTCAATTTGTATCATACTCATGCTGATTATTTTTTGTGGACCACTTATATTTAAATGATAACTATTTAGCCACTTAACTGCCTTTTTTCCTTTTAATTTAAATAATTTGGGAACTTAACCTGCTGTTTTGTATCCTTTGAATCCTATTTAGCAAATCACCTGTTCCTGTTTACTCTGATGATGATCCTCCCCCTCCACAGACCTCAAAGGAAAAATGTGCTAAAGAGTTTCTTGAAAACTTTTTAAACAATGATAATCAGGTGGGTGAAGTTAAATCTTTTTAACCTCTTGAAAGATTTATAACTAAGATATAGATACTAATTTCTGATTTATTTAGATATTTTTAAACAAATCAAATTACTCAAATTCATCCCTCCCCAGCAGAAATCCATCACACCCTCTAGAATTACTGATAATTTTATTTTAGTATTCTAAAGTAGAGGGGCCCAAGGTTGAACTTCTACAAAGCGCCTAAATGGTCATTACAATGTCCCCCCAGACCCCCCAGAAAACATGTCATAAAGTAGACCATTACAGAATAAATTCTGTTTTCCCATAGGGAGACTGATTATTGACATATGTGTTTCAAACAAAGATATAAATTGCTATATAACTTAAAATAGGAAAATTACTACCTACTTATCCAATGTATGTACATCTTGCAATTAATTGCCAAATATATATAGGAAAATAAGAAATAGTATGTAATTTGACTTAAAATATAAGCCCTGACTGTTACATAGTGAAATAATTCTTCTGGGATCTGAACATTTAGAGGATTGGAAGAGTTGAATATTGACTATAAAAATTAGCATAAACATTTTAGAAAATGCATCTTTGCTTTGGTGAAAGTTACTGGAGTAAGTAGAGGCTGTCAGAGTATGTCTGATCTTAGAACTGTACATAAGATACTAGAGCATATACTTGGCAAGTGGAGCTTCATTGTCACGTATTTATTCAAAAATATTTGAGGAGTAAGCACTTTTCTAGGAACTATATTCCTAGCATTGAATAAGAGAAGTTTTCCCTGCCCTCTTGGATTTCATATTTTAGTTGGAGATTTTTGTTACACGAACTGAATGAAAATGCAATATGTAATATAAAACCAAAAACCAGACTCACTGCTGTCAAGTTGATAGCGACTCATAGGTTTTTAAGCTTTACAATGAAGATTTTGGATTTTGTTCTGAGATGAGAAGTCATTGGAGAGTTTCAAGTGGGGGAATGAAATGATCAGTTTACATGTTTAAGTATAAAATGGCAGCTGTGGAACATGGTGGAGTAGGGGCTGGAGTGGGAGCTGCAAGCCTAGTTAGGAGGCTAATGCAATATTTCAGCACAGAAATTACAGTAACTAGGATTACAGTGAGTACTTTGGAAGTACATGGTCAGAAGTGGTTAGATTTGGGATGTATTTTAAAGGTTGACCTGTTCGGAAGAAGCAGAGATAATTCAGAGAATGATCCAAGATATTTGAGCTAAGCAACTAGAGTATTGGTGGTGCCATTTACTTAGGTAGCGAACAGATTTGGGGTAGATGAGAAATTTAGCTATCTAGAATTCTGTTTCAGAAACTAAGTTTACAATGGATGATAACTACTGAACAACTCACCATTCCCACTCCTACCCCTGACAACTACCTAGCTATTTTTGGTGTGTTTTTTTTGTAAATAATATCTTGGGTTTTTTTGCTGAAAATATGTACAGCATAACCCATTCATTTTCAACAGTTTCCAGAAATAATGATCAGTGACATTGGTTACATTTTTCACATTGTATCAACAATCCCATTATTTCTGTTCTAGTTATTTCACTTCCATTGACTTAAACTCCTTTCTCACCAACCCTCTCTTCTATACTTCAAAAATATCTGTTGGTTATTTGGATATATGCATATATGTATGTGTGTGTGTGTGTGTGTGTATACACACACACACACACATACATATATAAATATAT